GCAGTAATTATGAAAAAACTATCAACTAAGAAAAGCCCAGCTCCAGCTTCAGGGAAGAACGAGCATCCGTGCTCCTCAAGCTCTTCGATAAAACTGAAAGGGAAGGAGGGCTCAGAGCCATTCCTGGAAGCTGGGTCACCCTGGGTCCAAAATCAGACCGGGACGGAACCACAAAAGGGAGCTATAGACCAGTCTCCTTAATGGGGATAGATGCAAAACCCTCAACAGGATCCAGTGCAGATCAATCTCCTTCAGGGACACAGATGCAAAAATCCTCCTCAACAAGACACTGGCAAAACAGAATACAACAAATCATTAAAAAGACCCCACATCCTGACCAAGTAGGCTTCATCCTAGGGATGTAAGAGATGGTTCAACATACACAAGTCAATAAATGTAATATATTACATAACCAGACACAAGGACAAAATTGCATAATAGCGGATGCAGAAAAAGCCTTCGACAAAATCCAACATCCTTCCTTTTATTATAAAAATCCATGACAAGAAGCCAGGCATGATAACCCACACCTATAATCACAGCACTCAGGAGGCTGAGGCAGGAGGATCACAGTGAGGTCAAGGCCAGCCTGCATTACATAGTGAGACGCTGTCTCAAAACAGCAAGCAAACAAACAGACTGTGAAGGAAATAGGTGTAGAGGGACATTATCTCAACCTGATAAAAGTTAGTTATCACAAACCTATGGCTAACATCATATTTTCTCTTTAAAATCAGGAATAAGACAAGGATACCCACCATCACCACTCCTGTTTAACATAGTCCTCAAGATATAAACAAGGCCAGTTAGCCAAGAAAAGTAAAAGGGATATGTATAGTCAAATTATCACTATTTGCATATATGTTTCTTTACACAGAAGACCAAAAAAATCTACTAAACAACTAGAATTACTACACAAATTAGTAATGTAGCAGGATACAAAATCAACACATAAAAATCCTTTACACCAATAATGAATCCGTTGAGAAAGAAATTAGGGTAAAAACCACTAAATAAAACCACAGAATAGCACCAAGAGAAATTCGATTCTCAGAAATTATCCTAATTAAGGAAGTGAAGGGCCTCTACAACAAAAATTCAGTACTCTAAAAAGAAGCTATCCCGAAACAGAAAGATAGATATCCCTTGTTCCTGGGTAGGCAGAACCAATATAGTAAAAATGGTGATACTTCCAAAATTATATCCAGATTTAACACAACCCCAATCAAAATACTAACAGCATTCCTCAGGGAACTTGAGGAAAATCCCAAACTTCATATGGAAGCAGAAGAGACCAGAATAGCAAACACAATCCTGGCAAACAAGTGCAAAAGCAGAAAGCATCACAGTCCCAGACTTGAAATTACATTACAAAGCTACTGGGATAAAAACAGCATGATACTGGCACAGACAGATGTGTGGATCAGTGGAACAGAGGATATAGAAACAACCTCAAGTACACTCAACTATTTGATATTTGACAGAAGAACCAAAATGCACACTGCAGGAAAGACATTCTCTTTAATTAATGGTGGGGGCGAAACTGGCTGCCCACATGCAGAGGGATGAGTCTAGATCCATATCTGTCACCACACACTAAACCTACACAAGACGGACAAAGAACTAAATGTTAAACAGAAATAACTAACCTTCTGGAAGATAAAATAGGAAAAACTTTTAAAGTCATGGTATGGCAAGGACTTTCTGAGCAGCACCCCAGTTGCATAGGAAATAATACCAAGAATCCACAAATCTCCAAATTCTGCAGGGGTTGCATCAGTATACAACCCCGCCCACAGAGGAACAGAGTTACTTTTTCTCTTTTTCCCTACAGCCCGTCAAAAGGTGTAATAGATATTGTGAAAGGGAAAGAAACTGTTCAAAAGGAAGGATGACTAGGATGGAGGAAAGAAGAAAGGAAAACATATATATATGACAGCTAAGATAACTGCACTACTCGTTCCATTAGTTCACTGAAAGGAACAGTTAGTGCTTACATTGCTTGATCAGTTTCGCATGCCTGAATCTGGTAGTCTGAGCAACTTTGTTTATTTTTTGGTACCAGGAATTGAACTCAGGACCTTGCACTGCCCAGGCAGGCACTGAGCCACTGAGCTGTATTCCTAGCTTTTTTTTTTTTTTTTTTTTTTTTTTTTTTGGTTTTTTTTCATTTTTATCGGTACCAGGGATCGAACTCACGACCGCCTGCTAGCAAGGCAGGTGCTTATGCCGCTGAGCTAAATCTCCAGCCCCGTATTCCTAGCTCTTGAGCAACTACTTTGAAGACAGCAATATGCAATATAATGACCAGTGTTAATTTCCTATCTTGTTTTGAAATTTTGTATCATTTTTATTATCTTTTAAAAATAACAGTTAGGATCATATCAAATTAAACAGCTTCTGCACAGCCAAAGAAGCCACCAACAGAATGAAAAAACAATCCACAGAATGGGGGAAAAAATATCACCAGCTATTGCTCAGACAGAAGAATAGCATCTAGAATATATAACAAAGTCAAAAAACTAGAGCCTTCAAAATAAGATAATCTCAAAAGACCTGTTGCAGTCAGGGTTTGCAAGGAGAAAAAAACAATGCAGAACACATAACTAATACTACTTATAATGGTCACCCAAGGAGTCAAATACAAAGACAGTGCAGGAAATCTGTCCACACACTAAAGACCTAGAAAACCCAGCCCAGGGCCTGGATCCCACAGTGATGTCCTGCATGAGCCCTGCTGAAAACCAAGAGCCCATGACAATGCTCCCTGCTCAGTCCATCTGGAGGCCTAGAGCTCACAACGGTGACTTGTGGAAGTCTGTCACATGGATCTGCGCCGGAAGGGCCCCAAGGTCAGGGGCAGGAGGCTAAAAAGTCTGTGCCCACAGGCTGAGGGCTCTGCACTGGAGTCCAGAAGTAATGCTCAGAGTAAGGTCCAGGGCTCCCCTGAAGTATCACGACCATCCTCAGCAACAGTGAGGTCCAGAGCTCCTCCTAAAGTGAGAAGAGCTGAGTTCATATCAGAAAGCCAGCGTGACGAGCTTCTCCAGGAGACTGAACAGCACACATCTTCCCCTCCAGAGCCATGAAGCGATGCTCAAAGTAGAGACCAGAGCTTCCCCAAAGTGAACCGCAGCCACTCTCAGTGACAGCAAGGTCCCCACCTCCCCTGATGATGATAACAGCCAGGTTCATACCAGGAAAGCAGCTCAGCAGGCTCCTCCAGGAGAACCCACACCCCCAGATGACTCAACAACACTATCTCTTCCTCTCCAGGTCTCCTTTTTACCTGGCAACAGACTCGGGTGGGTGCTCCACGCTCAGCTCCACACTGATGCAGGTCAGCTGGTGCTACAAGTGACCAGCAGTTCTCAAGCCACTATAAGACCCATTCAAAAAACTCAGCGAGTGAAATGAACAGATGCTTAATGAAGAAGATGCACAAATGGCTAATAAATATGTGAAGAAATGTTCAGCGTCACTGGACATTAGAGAAATGCAAATAAAAACAACACCTGTATTACATCTTACACCAGAAGGAATGGCCCTCACCAAGAAATCAAATCATAACAATTCTGGTGAGGCTTTGAGGAGAAAGACACTTCTACACTGTTGGCTGGAATATAAACTAGTACAGTATGGAAATCCATATGGAGATTCCTCAGAAACGAGAAATTCCATTCAACCCAGCTATCCATCTCCTCTTAGGTATCTTCTGAGATTGCTTCCATCTCAGAAGCAAAAGTGCTTTTGCAAAAGTGTAACAGATACATATTACAAATTACACTTTCTAAGCCTAAACACACCCACACTTTTGTTAACAGATTAACATTTGTATCCACACAGAGTCTGTAATTACAGATAATGAAAGATGCAGATTTTTTTCAAATCCATTTTATTTCAATGAGAAAAAAGGAAACGAAAAAAGGAAAACAAAATTTGAAAACACATCAATCAGGGGGCAATGATGGTACATAAATCACGCATTGTCACACCCAAATCATTCACCCAGAGCACAAGACATCTGCATTCAATCGTCTGAACAGCATCTGCACAAAACTTTCTCTGCAGTGCATTCAGAGAAATCGGAAGTAGAAGTATCTTAACTAGTTTTTATGTAGACTACATGTTCTTTCAGCTTCTCACATTAGTGAGACAACATGGTGTTTACTGGTGTCTTATTTCACTTACGAGTATGGTCTCAAGTTGCAGAAGATGCAGATTTTTAATATATTCATTAGTATTTTAAAGTTCTGCTTCCGGGTTGGGGATCTAGGTCAGTAGCATAAGTGCCTGCCCGGCAAGCCCAACATAATTTTATTATTATGTTACTTCACCGGTACTGGGAAGGTCCTGAGTTCCATTCCCAGTACTGGTGAAGTAACATATAAATTAAAAAATAAAATTAAATACAGAAAAAAAAAAGTTCTGCTTCCACCCACACAAGAGTAACTGGCCCCCAGACTTGCTTTCTTATCCTACGCAACTAGAGAATTAGACACACTACCCACAACACCCCCATGTAGCCCCTGGCGTAGTCAGTGAGGGGCTGGCAGAGTGCAGGGAGCATGGTTGGGGGCGTCTGGCCTGCACCCCGATGCTGCTGTGGGGCTGGTGCAGAACCACGCAGCTCCTGCCCTGCAAGGAGCTGAGGTGCAGAGTCACTGTTCAGCTGCACACCCTTCGGAGAAGAAATCCACACAGCTGAGGCCTCCCGAACCCGAAAAGGGCCTCCTGGGAGCTGCTGCTAAAAGCTGCATACGCAGCCCGGGGCCCTGGGTCATCCCAGAGCTGATGCAGGGCTTGGAGACGCTGAGCTCCATCCAGCCTGAGGAGCATCCCCAGCTATGAACCCCTGAGGTTCTCAACAAAGATTCCAGGAGGGCCACACACCTATGTCACTGGGCTGCTCTAGCCCTAGAGTAAAGGCGACTCTCAAGCCATCCCTGCATAGCTTAGAATTCAGTTTTTTTTAAAAAATCATTTTTAAAAGGACCAAGAAAATCTGCAAGCCATTTAATTGTTAGGTGATACAAAGTCAGCATTCTTTCAAGGGACCTACAAAAGTGTAGACACTAGGCAGCAGAATATATAATATCTAGCATCTAACCAGAATTACTAGATACTTCGAGAAGCAGGAGAATGTGATTTAGACACAGCAGAAACAAGTCCAAAGAAACAGCCAGAATCAGCCTTGATAACTGCAGGCAAGCGAGTGGCCACACACTGCTCAGAAAGTTCTTTCCAGCCGGGCGTGGTGGCACACACCTGTAATGCCAGCACTGGGGAGGCTGAAGCACTGGAGGCTCACTGTGCGTTCGAGGCCAGCCTGGGCTACAAAGTGAGTTGAGGGCCAATTTGAACTGCATATTGAAACTCGGTCTCAAAAAGACAATAAATAAATAAACAAAAAGGAAAGAAAGTTCTTTCCAATGATTTGTCCTGTGTCCAAGCCATCGGCTATGTCTCCATCCGGGTACCCTGCTTCCTGTCAGGGCTGCAGGGCCTCAGGGGCTTGTTTGTTTCTCAGGCCGGAACCCCCGCGCCCACCCCCCCCCCCCAGCCTCACATGGAGGAGGTGTTCAACAAATGTTTGTTGAAAGTGCAAAATGAGACGCAGGGCCTGGAGAAAACTGCTGAGGTCACCAACCTGTGGTCAGGACAGCTGCACTGGCCATTGTTCTGAAAAACAGATGAGGTGGAAACTTAAATTAGCTCAGTCCATATTTGGTCTCAACCCGTATTTAGTTGGTGATTGCATGCAAGCCACCAGGCTGCTGCCAGCCAAGGAAAAAAGGAGATCTTTCCTCATCCCGGAGACGTGACACCAACCCCACCCCCAAGCCCAGGCACAGGGCCTGGCCCATAAAAAGTGCTGGTGAACGGTGGCCCCTGGAATTCCCTCAGCACGCCAGGAAGAGACAGGTACAAATAGGGTGTTTTAATTCACAGACAGTTCCTGCTGACTTGCCAGAGGCCAGCCTTGTGAGGAAGAGTCTCAGCTGTTCTCCTGGGCCTCTCACTTTACAGTAAAACAGACTGAGCCAGGTGATGGCCCATGCCTATAGTGCTAGCACTGAGGAGGCTGAGGCAGGAGAATTGCTGTGAATTCAAGGCCAGGCTGGGCTAGACAGTAAAATCAAGACCAGCTACAACTACATAGTGAGACCCTGTCTCAAATAACCCAAACAAAACAAAATAAAGAGTAAAACATACTGGAAAAAAAAATAGAAATGATGGGGGCCAGGAGACAATAAAATAGTTTGTAATTCCTAAAAATAAAATTTCCTTTTGTCCTACTAGTTTCTGCCTTCTTAGGAGTGGTGCTTTTATTTTTACTATCACTGATTAACAAAAAGTCTGCAGATGCTTTCCTAGGAAGCTCGAAGCGACGAAGTGACTACTTAAGTCGTTTAATATTCTGTGGGGCTGCAGGAACATCATTAACTATTTCCCCCGACTTTAAGGGATCTAGAGGGACATTTTCCCGATGGAAGGACCCCAGAAGATTCTATAATTAGACCAGGAACAGACACCAAATTCTGAGGCACTAGGACAAAAGAAGACCTGCCGTTTTAGAGTGGATATTTGATTTAGTGAAGGGGAAATGGCCTTCAGAAAGTGCTCTTAGTAAGAAATACGTTTCGAGGAAGAGTACGCCTCGTAAAATAACCTCAGGTATGCTGCTCGCTGTGGCTTTCATTTTTCTTCACCCCAAGAGAGAGACTATTTGTTGTTTTTGTTCTCCTTCCAGAGGAGAGGCTTAAATCCCAAACCCAGGGTTTTCCTCTGCCAAACATCAATACCCCTGCCTCAGCCCCGGGAATGGAACCCAGGGGTTTCATACTGAGCTGTTTGGAGATGGAGTCTCCTAACCAGGTTGGGCTTGAACCTGTGATCCTCCTGCCTCAGCCTCCCAGAGTGATGGGATTCCAGGCCTGCACCACCAGCCCAGGCTTCAGTATTCCTTTTTGTAACTAGTAATTCTAACGTTTTTTTTTTTTTTTTTTTTTTTTTTACAAACATGCCTGTAATCCCAGCACTCCGGGAGGCTGAGGCAGGAGGATTGTTGCGAGTTCGAGACCAGCCTGGGCTACAAAGTGAGCTAAAGGCCGGCCTGAACTGCATAGCGAGACCCTGTCTCAAAAAAAAAAAAAAAAAGTCAGATCCTGATTTAATGTTTACCCTCGTCTTATAGTAACCTATACGAAACGTGCCTTGTATAACTGACAAATTTTAAAACAGAATGCAACGCGCAATTACGACACAAAGAAAGCAGCGCGCATTCCCTACGGAGACGCTTCAGGCCGCGTCACGAGGCGCCTGCGCGCCGGCCGGTGTTGCAGCGACAGCGGCTCGGGTGGGCGCTGCTGCCTCCTCCCGATACGGACGCCTGGCTCGTGTAACCGCGTGAAAATTCCCCGGGTCCTGGGCCGCGTCGCCGCCCCTGCAAACCTTCCCTCGCGAGTAAGGCCGCGCTGACAGCTTCCGACCGGAACCCGGGCCGCGCAGCTTCGTTCCGTCTTCCGCCTGGCCCGCGGGAAGGCAAACGAGGGAGCGCACGGACCCCAAGGACTTGGAGAACGGGGAGAACGGGGAGGACGAGGAGAACGGGAGGCTGACGCAAGCTGACGGAGGTCCCAAACCCGCCGCCTGGGCCGCAGAGCACCTGGGACAGGGCCGTCCCGAGACCGGGTGCCTAAGCGGCTGCGCCATGCACAGCGGGACTGGAAATTGTCCGCTACGGAAGCCGCCTAGGAACACACCCGGCCGGGGCTCGCAAGGCGCTGGGCTCTGGGAGCGAGAGCTGAGCGGGAGCGGGGCGCCTCCGTGGCGCTGCGCGAGGACGGTTCGGGTTGTTGCGATGCTCCAGCGTCAGTCAGGCTGAGCAGGCCGGGACCGGGATCGGGGTATCTCCATGACAGTCCCGGTACGCGAGGGAGGTTCCCGCCACCCCCAGCCCTCAGCGGGGCCGCTGTGCAGCGCGGAGAACCAGGCCCGTATCCTGAGGTTTGGGACGCATGCATTAGGTTAGAAATTAAACACATTTCTAAGTAATCCATGGGTCAAAAGCAAATACACAGCTGGGCGTGTTGGCGCACACCTGTAATCCCAGCACTCAGGAGGCTGAGGCAGGAAGATCGTCGTGAGTTCAATGCCAGCCTGGCTACGTAGTGAGACCTTGTTTCATAAAACCAAAAAGCAAGGCTTTCTCTTTATATTATAAAAATATAAGTAAAGAGAAGGGAATGAAAAAAGAATTAAGATAGTTATGTACCTACAGCACCAGTTTCCCATGATGCGCGTGACCATTGTGTGCTGCAAACATGAACTAATAAAACATTTCTGTAAACTATAAAAAAAGACATAAGGGAATTTAGAAAATATTCTGAACTGAATGAAAGCAAAAACAAAATATCAAAATGTGAGATGAAGCTAAGGCATCCTTTAAATGGAAGTTTAGTGTCATGGGTAGAATATGAAAGACATTAAAAGTAATTATCCATGAAGTTAGAAAAAAGTAATAGTAGGATATGTGAAAGTCAAAGATTTGTCCCTTGAAAAGATTAGCAAAATTGATAAACTAGAAGAAAGAAAAGAGAAAATACAGATAATGAATGGTAGAGAAATAAGTATGTACGAATCTTACAGATAAGAAAACATTTAAATGACTTTTCTTCGAGTTCAACATCCTAAATGAGCTGAAAGCATTTCTTGAAAGGAAGGAATTATTACAACTGACTCAAAAAGAAAAAAAAAGAAAAGTAATCCTACACCTACTAGTAAAATCATTATTACTGGGCACATACATGATCCAGTCTAGCTCTCTGGAGGCTGAGGCAGGAGGATTGCCATGAGTTCAAGGTCAAGCTGGGATGCATAGTGAACTCACCCAGTCTGAACTACACAGTGACACACTTCCTCAAAAAAACCTTTTTTTTGTTATTAAAAACTTTCCCAGGCAGTTGTAGTGGTGCACACCTATAATCCCAGCACCAGGTAGGCTGAGGCAGGTAGTTTGTTACAAATTCAGACTGGTGTGGGCTACAAAGTGAGCTGAAGGCCAGCCTCAACTGCATAGCAAGACTGTGCCTCAAAAAGACAAAAAAAAAAAAAAAAAAAAAAAAAAAAAAAAAAAGATCAAAACAAAAAACCACTTTCCCACACAGAAAATCTAAAGTATGAAACTATTTATTTATTTATTTATTTTTGGTGCCAGGGATTGAACTCAGATCTTGCACTTGCCAGGTGGGTACTTGTGCTGCTGAGCTAAACCCCTGAGCCTAAAGTATGAAACATTTAATGAAGAAAAAAATACCAATATTACACAAACTTGTTCAGATAACAGAGGTGATGGGAACACTTTGGAACTCATTTTTGTAAGGCTATAAAAGACATGTTGCAAGCAGGCAGTCGTGAGTTCGATCCCTGGTACCGATAAAAATGAAAAAGACAAAAAAAAAAAAAAAGACATAATGTTACATCTTGACAAAGGGAATCACAGATGGAGATCTTGGTGAAGGTAACTGGTCCATGGACCATCACAACTTCACCACAGCAGTACAGAGCTGTATACACCATCAGTGAAGGGCTTTATTCAGAGTTATGTTTGAAAGTCAGTCAAGGAACTGGGGCTGGAGCTCTGTGTTACACTGACTATGTGGCATGAATGAGACCCTGGGTTTGATCTCCAGCACTGTGGGGAAAAAAAAATAGTGGGGTGTGGGGGTGCACACCTGGTAATCCCAGCACTTGGGAGGCTGAAGGAAGAGAATCGCTTTGGGTTCGAGGCCAGACTGGGTTATACAGCATGACCCTGTCTCATTATATCTAGAATGTCAATAAATAAATAATAAAAAGGCAATCAGCACGATTCATCACACTGACAGAAAAAAGAAAAATAATATGGTCACTAAAAAACAAAAAAATCAGCACCTCTCACTTATTTTTCAGCACTTGGGGGGCTGAAGCAGGAGGATTGCTTGAGCCCAAATGTCTGAGGTCTGCCTGGGCACCATCGTGAACTCTGCCTCAAAGCAAACAAAAACTCTACAAATTAGAAATATGGGAGAAACTTTCCTAGTTGGATAAAAGACTTCTACAGAAAACCTACAGGTAGCATATTTGACAATAACAAACTCAGTGTTTTCACCCTAAAGTTGGGTACCAGTCAAGAATGTCTTATTCTTGAGATCCTGGTCAATGCAGTAAGTCAGCTAAATAAAATAAAGACAGACACTAGAGAGGAAATAGTATGTTTCTTTTTTTTAAATTTTTAAATTTTAATTTTTTTGAAGAGTTTATTTTCAGGTACATTTGTCTACACAGAAGATTCTAAGGTATTTTTATAAATAGGATAAGAAAAGATTTATTAACATTACAGGATACAAGGTCACAAAAATTATATTTCTAATTGATAGCTTGGAAAGTGAAGTTTAAAAATAGCATTTCCAGCAGTGTCAAAATACAAAGCTTTAAATACTTAGGAATACATGTACATAATGATGTGAAAGCCCAGTTTGAAAGCTGTAATTCACCAATGAGGGAAATTTAAAACAACCTAAGTAAGTGGAGAGCTATGTCAAGTTTAGCAGCTGAAAGGTCAACATGATTAAGGTGTTGTTTCTTCCAAAATCAAAGTGTGGATTTCACACAATCTCCAGACCCCCAGTAGATTTTATGTAGAAAATGATAATCTGCTTTTAAGTTTGTATTTGAAAACGCAAAAGACCTAGGAGAACCTAAGTCATTTGAGAAAAAGAAAAAAACCTGCCGGTGGTGGACTGGATTAGTTTGGAAGCATTGCTGTAACGAACGGTCCCAGCCAGGTGACAGAAGGGAATTCCCTTCTAGCTCCGGAGCCGCGGAGTCTGAGAGCAAAGTGTCTGTCTGCAGGGTTGGCTTCTCCTGAGCCCTGGGCTTGTGGATGGTGGCCTTCTGCTCCCTGTGTCCCTCTGTGGACATTCCCGTGCCTGTGTCTGTCCTCATGCAGCAGACATCTAGCATGTCAGACTCTCATGTGGTCATGGGTGGGGCTTTGGGAAGGGGATGGGGATGGGGCGCCATACTCATAAGTGGGTCCACTGGCAAATCCATGGCTGAATGTGCTGGGGTGTGGTTAGGGTTCACAAGGGAAAGGATTTAATACAGGGCACATAATTTATGGGATCTTTTTATGATATTGGCCCACAGAGTCAAACGCAAAAGAATGCAGATTGCCCCTTACACTAGAGACCCAAAGATTCCAGCTGAGGGCCCGGATCTTGTAGCAAAGTCCTGCCTGAGTCCAGCGGGACGCCTGGGGCCCACGGCAGTGTCTCATGCAAGTCTGCTTCACTGGGAAGATGAGCGGTGGAGGCTGGAAAGCCTGCACCAGTGAGGTGAAGGATCTGTGCCCGCAGGCTGAGGGATGTGCTCAGGAGACAGGAAGCGATGCTCAAAGTAGGACCAGGGCTCCCCCAAAGAGAACCACAGCCACTCTCAGCCACGGTGAGATCCTGAGCTCCGCCACGGAGAACAGCTGAGTTCACACCAGGAAGCCAGCCTGACAGCTTCTCCAGGAGAATCATCAGCGCACCCTCTTCTCCTCCAGGTTTCCTTTTATTCTGCTGGCAGCGATCCTCAGGTGGGCCCTCCGCACCCAGCCCTGCACTGACTCAGTTCAGCTGGGTGTTACGGTGGACCATTAGTTAATCCACAGCAATCCAAACCTGGTCAACTTGATAACCAGACACATTTCCTACAGCCGTAGTCTCCAGTAGCAGATTCGTGAAAAAAAGTTAACATGTCTTGATCTATTCAGATTCGTATAACAATTACCCATATACAATTCTTATTAGACTCATTCCTGTACCAAGAGCAAAATATCCACAGAGTGATCAAAATTCAAGGTTAAAACCAAAATATTTTGACTAATGAACCTGATTACAAACATATCTAAAAGGACATTGAAATCATTTGAAAAGCTATTACAATCACAGTCCTTGCTTCCTATTAACTTTTAAAAATGGCACAGCAATACTGAAAAACAGGAATTGCCTGCCTTTCAAATGCACTCTTCCCTTCAGGAGAAAGGCTGCAGTCCCTGTTTCCATCGCCCTGTTCTTCCCCCCGACCACGTTCTGCTCTGTTTAATCCTTGCAGCCCACATCTCCGCTGGCCCTCCCCTCTGGCCAAATGCTTCAAAGCACCCTGCTGGCTCCTGCTTTTAATTTTGAGCACTGATCTGGCCAGAAGCCCTTGACAGTAACCATGTCACTGTCCAACAGGAGACTGTACTGAACTTTTTCTGCCACCCAGGTAATATCTCTAACTGCAACTTAAATGCAGACCAACTTCCTGCCAAAGCACAACACGTACCACCAGGGACCTGGCAGCCATCTCACAAGATGGACCTGCAGACCATCTCACAAGAAGCCTCCCGAGGCTCACCTGACCGGCAGCATTTCCAGCAATGCTCTGATTTTCCAGGCTCTGACGGGTCTCCCATATAGCTTACAGCATTACAGGGGCTGCCTTTCTGGTCAGTCTCTCAAAAAATGCCCAAGGCTCTTAAGTCACATGATGGTGCTGGGGATTTAGCTCAGTGATGTAAGTGCCTGCCAGGCAAGCGTGAGGTTGTGAGTTCGATCTCTGGTACAAAAAAAAAAAAGAATCAAGCCACATGCCGAGAAACATTACAGCAATGACCCCACTCTCCTGGTACCAATTTTGCCTTCGCTACTTTTCTTGTTGCTAGGACAAAACACCTGATGCCCAAAATTAAGGAGGAAAAGATTTATTTAGCTCACTGTTTGCTGAGGTTTCAGTCCATAATCAGCTGGCTCCAAGGCAGGGTGGTATGGCAGAGGGCAACAGTTCATGGCAGCAGAAGACAGCAAAAGCAGGAGAGGAGACAGCCTGCCTCTTCCCATCCCTTATGGGTAGGCTGCTGCCGCAGAGCAGGTGCAGCACTCACCCCCTTCATCCCAGCACTGCACCATGAATCAGTCACCAACTCCAGAGACCTGCCGCCAAAACTGCATGAGGCTTTGGGGGACCATCCAGACGCAAACCCTAACTGCTGTTAGGAGGCAGAGACCTGCTCCTGGGGTGTGGCTGGAGTGGGTGTCTCCCCCAGCTCCTCCCTTCTCTCCCTGCTTCCTGGTCACTATGCTGCCAGCAGCTGTCTTCCACCAGACCCTTTCACCAGGTTTTTCTGCCTTGGACCTGGCTAACTATGGAATAATCCTACTGAAACAATAACCCTAATGCTTGCCTCCTCTCAGAAGGGGGTGTTGGAGGTGGTATTTCAGTGATGGGAAAGCCACCAGGCAAGGGCTGGGCATGCACAGCTGTGGCCTCTTGAGGCCCTGTAGACTCTGACCGCTGAGCGAGACGAACTGGTCACCGAGGGCCACTCCGTCAAAACAGTGCCCAATAGCAGCGTTCGCTTCGGACACTTCCCCTGCCCCGGCAGGGTCCCCTGGTTACCAGCGCACGAAGGGGCCAAAGCCATGTGGTAAATAGAAGCCATCAGCCCAATGCATTCACACTCACTGCACGGCAGGATCCAGGCTCTTCCCTCTAAGCGCTGGCCACTTCCAGGCTGGAAAGAAACAGCACTGGAAAGGAGAGGGCCGTCTAGTATTACTTCACCAGGGCCTGGTGTTGTTGGGGAGCTGTGTTTGCAGGCTGTCAGCCCTTGGGGTGCAGTGGCCCAGAGCCCTCTGCCATGAGCTGTGTGTCTTAGGAAGCGCGGGGAACCCGGCCTCCTCCCCGCTGCCTGCACCGTGGCGGCTGCACGTGGCGCAAGGCCCGGGCTCCGCCACCTCCGAGCCACAGACCCGAGGGTGGCAGTGCAGTTCCCAGCGCAGCCACCGCGCGCACCGCGCCCCGGGGACCTGCAGGCGGGAGCCAGGGTGCAGAGGGGCCGGGCGGTCAGCAGCGGCACCAGCCCCGCGGGCCGCAGCGCCTGGTCCCCGCCTGTCCTGTCCGCGCTGTGCCCGGGGCTGCCCTGGGGCCCTTGCGGGGTCCCGGGCTGGCGGCTCCAGAAGGGCTCTGGTGCGGGCCGCAGACACTTGGAGACAGTTGCAGATTCCGTTCCGCACAGTCATGTCCCGGCCTCCCCACCCCCGGGTCGTTTCCCGAAAAAGACAGCGCAGCCGGGCCAGCTCGCAGCAGGCGCCGCTGTCCGCTGTCCGGGCGCTGGGCTGCAGCTGCCCAGTGGCCTGCGCTCCTCAGCGAGCCCCTGGGCCTCCTCCTGGGCCGGGAGAGGGGCGAGGAGGGTCCGAAATCAGAGCTCCACGCAAGTCACGCCAGCCCTGCGCCACTGGAGACAGAAATCGCAAAACTCCACAGGGAACCCTGCTCCTTTGGCTTTGAGGTGAGACCTGACTCCCTTCATTCATCATTCGCGCGTGGGCTCTGCTGGATCACTTCCCACGGGAAGCGCAGCTCCCGGCCCTGGGTTTCCTGCACCCCAGCCCGGGGTAGGTGAGGTTAACCCCGCCCCTCCTCGGCCTCCAAAGTGGATTTCCCCGACCTCTGTCTGGTACTCAGCAAAAAATTACCAGGCAGGCAGGAAGCAGGACGAACTGTGAGGAGAATGAGCAGACCTGGAAGCTAGCAGAGGGGCATTTCAGCAGTTACTATAAACACATCCTGTGCATCAGAGAAGGTAGGAGAGCCAGGCCGGAGCCCAGGCCAGCAATCCAGCTCTCTGAGAGGCTGAGCCCAGCCCTGGCAATTTAACAAGAATTTGCCTGAAATATTAAAAAACTTAGCTGGGTGTGATGCCTCACTCCTGGAATTCCCAGCCTCAGAAGGATCATCGTGAGTCTGAGGCCAACCTGGGCCACACAGCAAAACCCTGTCTCCAAAAAGTTTATACATTTAAAATATATTTTAAAGGAGCTGGGGATGTAGCTCAGCCATAGACTTAATCCTCAGTGCTGAGAAAAAAGAAAGAAAGAAGAAAAAAGGGAAAACTGTTGTAGGAAGTGGTAACACAGTAAGCAGAGACTTAGAATGTTGGAAACACCAAAATGGGCTTCTAGAGTTAAAAATGCCAGTGTCTGAGACGGAAAATGCACTTTTTGGGATTAACAACCATCGAGTATAGGGAGATAACGAATTAAAAATGGCAAGAGAAATTGGGCAAAAAGAAACAGAAAAATACTGACCTGGAAGATAACATTAAGTTATCTATAAGCGGACACTACAGGAAAGGAGGGAGGAGGATAAGAAAAAACTGGAATAAATGATGTTTGAGATTTTACTTGATGAAAATCATACACCCCAAATTTGGAGAAACTCAATGGAATGTAATCACCAGAAAGCTATAGCAGAGCACATCATAATCCAGATATTTAGAACCACTGATAAGGGAAACCAAGAAGCAACGAGAGCCAGGCCTGGTGGCAGTATTCGGGAGGCTGAGGCGGGAGGATCACTGCTAGTTTGAGCCCAGCCTGGCTACACAGTGAGTTCAACGCCAGCCTGAACATAGCGCGAGAGGCCCTGTCTCAAAAAACAAAACCCAAAAACGGAGGAGGAGGAGGAGGAAAAGAAACAATGACAGAAAAGGAGCACATTACTGGGAGAAACAAAGATAAGACTGATCCGGACAGCCAGCGGTGGTAGCACACACCTTGTTAGCTGCACTCAAAGGCTGAGGCAGGAGAACGGTGACTTGGACACAGCCTGTGCAATGTATGGCCTCAGCAGATACTGTCTCAAAATAAAAACTAAGCAAAGGCTGGGCATACAAGGGCCCTGAGTTCAGCTCCTAGAACTGCCAACAGTTTTTTCTTGGAGGTGGGGGCGGCTATCATAGGAGATGGCAGGCGGCAGGCTAGGAGGTCGGCTCAGAGACCCGCAGCTGGAGCCTGCTGTGATATCCTTGGAACTGTGTGCACACTTTGATTTTGTGCTTTTGCAACTGAGGGAGGAGTTTCGGTGGTTTCTTTTTTATTTCTTTCCTTCTCTATTTGTCTTTTCTGTCTCCTCCTTTTTTCTTCCCTTGTCACACCCTTATCTTTCCTTTGTTCCTCTTTTCACTTTGCATATACATAGTTGGTGTCTATCTCTGTGTGAGACTTAGAGGGAAGAGTGCTTTCTCTTAAACGGAGCCTTTCGTGGGCGGGCGATCAGAAAACCCTCACCCCAGCTGCCTGCACAGGACCCAACCGAGAATGCTCAGGGCTGGGGCTGCGGCTTTAGCCCAGGGGTGTAAGTGTCCGCCCGACAAGATCATAACCTCCCGACTTTCCTCAGTCCCTAAATCCACATCCGTCCATATGCATCCCTCCTCCTTCTCTCCTCACAAGCCCTCTCTCAAAATCCTTCAACAGCAGTCCTTTACCCAGTTATAAAAATAATTCCAGCAGTCTGAGGCTTTGCCAAACTTCACCTGTCAGTGAAATTTTTTTCTCTCCCGCCCTTCCTGTTGACTTAGCCCCTTCCACTGCCCCCGTCATCTCCTCCCCGGCATCTCCCAGCCTGTAGCCGCACAGCAGTTCAGTCCCTAAGGGCCCTGATACAGGGTAAAATAAAACAAGTTTTAATGTAAATGATAGATGTCTGGTTGCAGCTGTTGATCTTGCCGTAACAGGTAAAAAAATCTCCCCTTGCAACAGTGGTCGGGTTCAATCCTGTTAAACTGGGTAAGACAAACAAAGCTAAAAAAAAAAAAACAGCACTGGAAAAGAAAAACACACTAAAGAGATATCCATGCTATAACAATAAAGTGTTTCCACTCAAAGCTCAGCATACATATGCGCGGGGCAGGGCGGGGGGGGGGGGAACATTAGGGAAAAAAGCATCAAAATGCATTTAAAAACTCCAAATTACCCAAAAACAGATCCAAGGAGTCTTGATGGGAAGAAAGTCAAAGACCAAATGGCAGAATTATATGAAATGCTAAAAGAAGAAAAGAAAGTTGACATTTGTATGTAAGAAACACATTTACTTCAAAAAAAAAAATTCATTGAATAAAAATAAAGGAATGGAAAACAATATTTCATACAGTAGGAGCCCAAAAGCAAGTAGGAGTAGCTATCCTATTTTCAAACACAGTGGACATATGGAAAAACCAACAGAAGAGATCAAGACGGTTACTACATATTGGTTAAGGAACTAATTCATGGGAAGAGATAACAACTGTGAATACATATGTAGCAAGTACCCATGCACACAACTTCATACAGCAAACACACAGGACATCAGAGATCAGATGCATGAACATATGATAGTGAGGGACCTCAGTATCCCACTTTCACAAATATACAGGTCCACTAAACAAAAAATCAGTAAATAAATAATTAAATAACACTTTTTAAATTTTTCTAGCATTGGGGATCAAACTCATGACCTCACGCTTGTGCCACTGAGCTAAATCCCCAGCCTTAAACAACACTTTTAAATGGATTTAAAAGATATCTACAGAGTGTTCCACCTACAACAGAATACACATTTTTTCTCAACAGCACATGGAATTTTTTCCAAAATAGACTCCATAATACCCCATACAGCGTGCTTAAATACATACAAAAGAGTCAAAATCATCCCAAGTTTGTGACTAGATGACAATGCAATGAAACTAGAAATCAAACAAAACAAACTACATAAAATTTGTATCTATTTGGAGATTAAACAACACATTCTTGAATAATCAGAGAGTTACAGAAGGAAACAAAAAAAGAAATTGAACCATTCCTGTACTCAAATGATAATGCCAGTATAGCATGCTAGAACCTATGGGACACATTGAAAACAGTCCAAAGAGGGAAGTTTGTTGCTGTAAATACCCACATATCAGAAAAACAGAGCAAGTCAAAATAACCTAATGATGCACCTCAAAGTCCTTGGAAGATGAACAATTCAAATCCAAAACTAGCATGAGGAAAGAAATTATAAAGGTAGGAGAAGAAGTTAATGAAATAGAGATTTAAAAAAAACAATGCAAGAATCAACAAACTGGTTCTCCAAAAGAATGAACAAGCTGGACATGGTGGCACAAGCCTGCAATCCCAGCACTTGAGAAACTGAGGCTGAAGGGTCACTGGGAGATCAAGGTCAGCCTGGGCCACAAAGGGAGTTCAGAATCAGCATGAACCACACAATGAGACCCTGTCAAATCAAACAAAAACAAGGAAAGACAGAATAAGCATACCACAGGGAAACCTTTAAGCAAGCTTACCAAAAGACGGAAAGAAACACTCACAATTAAACAATCTGAATTATTTAATAACAGGCAATAAGTTGAGGCATTGATAAAAAGCAACCTACAAACTAAAAAACAAAAAAACCTAGCGGGTTCACTGCTGAATTTTTAGAAATTCAAGGAAATTCTAATGTCAATACTTCTCAAACTCTTTAATAAAATTGAAATGGAAGGATTATTGTCAAAGTCATTCTTGAAGTTAGGATTACTCTGATTTCAAAACCAAAGAGACAGCTAAAAAAGAGAACTATAGAACTAGGGAACTGTAGCCCATGGGTGAACACCAATTTTGTCACAAAGGCACATTATTGTGGGTGTATAATACCCATGTCTAGTCCTTGGAATATTTCAATTCATAAGTTATTACTTTTAACTTTATAAATTTTATACTAAACAATGAGTACTTAACAGGAAAAAATATAAAAAATTAAAGTATTGAATTTTTCATATTTATTATTTATAAAAACAATAAAAATTTTCAACATTGACTTTTTTGGTTTACAAAGTCTTAAAACCCCATAAATTATTTTTTTTGACCCACAAGTTCTTATATGAACTATAGTGAAAATACCAGTATCTTTACCAAAAAAATGTACTTCAATTATCATATCTAAGGTAGTCTGTGGGGTCATTGCTGTGACCACACCTGCCCATGTGGTTCAGCAGCCTCTGGGAATGGTTTGTGGGCAGAGTTTGGCAAGGTTTAGAGATGTGTCCTAGAAGAGCAGAGCTACAAAGCCTGAGGCTGTTCCGCATGGCAGATTCTAGTCAGCGCTCAGAAGGCCAGAGAAGTGGTAAAGGCCAGGGTCAGGAGATTTCTTCTGAGAACAAGGACTGCATTGGCTGCTGGACTCAGAGGATGTGTGTTGGGGCTTGGCAGAAAGTTTGTCTGTGTTTTGCTCATGTTCAGAGACTTGGCCTAGGGCTGAGATTAAGACTGGTCGACTGACTAATGAATCTAGCAGAAGAAATTTCAAGGGAGTCAAATGTTGAGGCTATGGCATGGCTGATGTTGGGCGTTTTCATCTAGAATCTATGATGAGTATCAGGAACAAAGAGCTCAGCAGGATGATTTAAAACATTGTGAGGCCAGAAGGAAGCTCCAGTAAAGCTGTAGACTGCAAAAACAGAGCTTGTATGAGGAGATCTCCAGGAACAGG